CGAAGACGAAATTACACGTCGTAACCGTAATCTGCTCCAAGAGGTTGCAAGCGTCGACACAAGAACGCTCCGTCTCCAATCCCTCAGAAAGCGTTTAGCGCCAACATTTACATTATAGCTGACGACGTGGATGGAATTCCAAGAGGTGTGTCATTTCGCATTAATTATATGCGAACGTGTACGTCCCTTTTTTTGTAAATTGCCGGCACGCAATTTGCCATATCAAACACGTTCACGGTTTTGCATACGCCCAGTTGCATGCATGGGCTTGCTGAGGGACCGGAGCAGACATCTCTAGGCTTTGAAGATACGGCTCCTGTCGCTGTAACCTTGCATCATAGTTTACTAAAAATACGCCAGTCTAGTACTCTTGTTACAAACATTTCCCGCGATTACGGTCTTTTGCCGCATAATTTAGGACTAGTATTGACTCATAAACAACATCACCGCCCTTTTGAAAGCTACCGAGCGTCTAACGTCTGTTGTGGAATGTAACGACATAGATCAAATACGCCACAAAAATAAACGCCAAAGGCTTAAATGTTCAAGTGTATGTTCATCGACAGAAAAAGCATACCCCAAATACAACCTGGTGAGAAGAAAATAAAAATAAAACCCCAGGAAACTACACAAATCTTGGTTCAAACATTAATAAGACATAGCTTCATTTATTCCGTAAAATATGGCTTATTTCTTCTCTACAAAAAAAAAAGGAAAGACGTTTACAATCCTCTGTAACGCCGAATTAGAGCGCAGCTCTTGCGGAGGAGGAGGGGAAGGTACAGATAAAAGGCTATGCCCCTCGTCCTCATTTGTGCACTTTCCTCCTCTTCTTCTGCTCTCCCCCCCCCCCCCCCCCCATTTAGTGGCATTTTTTTCCGCTAAATATTGCGGGGAAATTTTTTTGCTAAGCTTAGCGGGGAAAAATCTGGCCCTGCGCCACAACATATTATATAAATATACATGCAAGACATAGGATAAACATAGCTTTTTTTTTATTTTTCGTGATTTTCTCGCATAAGCCAACCCTACCACAATTTGAGTAAAAGCTTCCACCATCTTCGGGCATCTGTGTAGTAAAACCTAGCGCGGTATGTAAGAATCCGATCTAAGCCGACCGTACAAAGTGGGATCGCAGCATTCGACTAACTACACGCTGTAGCTAGTCGAACCTTCAGCCCATGGCAGTTACGTCTCATTTATATTAAAAAAAATAAAGATTATGGCAGTCTGACCTTGCGCGTGCAGGTGCGCACGTTCCCAAGATTTTGGTATGAATTATATTTTCTTTAATATAACTGACTCCCTAAATGTTCGTAAAGAAAAGAATCAAGCAAGTTACATTATTATTTATGTCAACCCTTCACAAAGCTCTTAAATACACACAAAGCTTTACATAATTGAGAGGTCTCCATATGCAGAAAAATATCTTTGGTAATGTTCATATGTTACATGTCGTGAAAAAGCAACCCTGTCGCCCCATCTCGTGACAAAGCAACAAAACAAACTGAGTCAATATACAGTCACATCCAATTGATCCTGGCCATATCATCTCAGATTTTATGTTTGCGTTGCTCGACAGCTTTAACAAAGAGGTACGTAAATAACTAGATTTTAAAAGAAGAAAAAAGGAAGAGAAAGTTTATCTTTGCAAGCCTTGCAAAAACTCGAGGTGACTAACGATATTTTTCTCTCTCTATTTTGTTGGGTAAACTTTGTTCCGATCCTCAGCAGTAAAGTATGCTGGCGGAGCAATCAAAGGTTGTTTGCTTTGTCAGCACGTGGCGAAACGAAATTCGGGGAAAGTCCAAGCCAAAGGAACACGCACGCGCGTTCCTTTTGACAATAAAAGAAAACGAAAGGATTTTAATTCGTGCCAAAGCCAAACGAACGAAGGGCATCTGCCCTTCGTTCGTTTGGCTTTGGACTGAGGATTCGTAGAATCATTGTCATCAAGCTCGATCTACATGGTGCGATCATGTTTACGATTTCGCAGTTGCGATGTTAAGTACCGCAGTTTCCAGCACGAATTATTTTTTTCGTGATTGACGTTGCAACTGCAAAATCGCAAGCAAAATCGCTTCATGTGAATCTGCAGCCTTCTATATGGGGTGCTTTGGTAAATGTGAATCCAGCTCATGTGGCGCCAACGACGCGAGTGCAATGCGTTGATTGGGCCTGATGCGCATGGCAAGCTGCGCAGCTATAGTACCATAAAGCTGACCATATCTCACGTGTATTGTTTACAAAATGTTATATGCCTAGTATCTTCAGTAGGTGTGCGCGCCAGTAGAATTACCCTACGCCAAATGTGTACGAATACGTGTTCCCCTTTAATGACAACGCGCGCCTTACAAAATTATCGAGGATAAAGTCCCAAAGCAGAGCAAGTGCTTCGTATCGCTTCACGTGATTCGTGCTGCCGTTTGTATTCTCACTTTTATTGCGTGCATTACAGGAACCTGCGCTCGTCCACCCCGGGTCATTGTATATCGAGGCACGTAATCTATGTTCGAGCGGTCGTGTTTCATGCATCGATCAGCGAGCGTGTCTCCGCTGTCCTCCGGAAAACGGAGCCGCGCGGTTTCGCTTGCTCCCGATATGTGTAGTCGTGTCCCGGAAAACGAGCACAGTCGGGTGAAGGAGCGCCGTTCGACGTGCACAACGAGGAATATCTTCGGACTGCAGAGAAATATTGAAGGGGAGTCAGATGACGGTAATATAACATTAAGAAAACTCCTCAATCTTGCGATTTTAAGCGCTTTTAGAATTTCCGAAGGAAAGTATAAACTAAACCGGCTCTTAACGAATGAACATTGAGTTCAGTAATTTTGGCCTAGACGCGCGCACGTGTATGAAAATTGCACGAACTTATATAACATCAAAAACCATTTGAGAGGACGGGACGAGATTTTACCTGTACTAAATTACACGATATATATAAAAAAACCTAAAACACAACAATATGAGATCATATCGTAGACTCGTCACTTTCTAAGTGAACAGAAAAATTACTGTGTTCAATAATATTATGTCCCGACTGCTTTCTTCTTTCTCATGTTGTGTGTAGATGTAGATGCACATGCAGATCACTTTAGATTCACCAAATGCAAGAACGAAAGCCTTTTTTTATCAAACATTCATTGATAAGATCGTAGAACGATAAACGGATCTTCTACGAACAGTCCCGTTGTAAGTTTTTCTTCTTACGCAGTTATTTATTCGACTACTTTTCAAGTAAAAAAACACTCTGAAAAGGCCATTAAACATTCACTCGTTTGTTTGTAAAAAGTAAGTGTTTCCAACTTTTTTTGCTTCTATTCTTGTTTAGAGAGGAAAAAAAGGGGGAGGAGGGCTTTTGGAGCAAGTAAATGCGACAATAAAAATTTCATTAATATTATGTTGCCGATAAAAAAATTGGCGCACAGTTTAATATAGTAAAGGCCACTCTAGCAAAATTTCGTTATCATAACTTGCAATTAGACAATAATATATATAAATAGGCTACTTTACGATTTTACAGCAAGATTTCGTTCAATTCTGGGCGTTGTCAAGAATAAACGGCTTAACTTCATTTTCTGTACGAAGAGCGTTATACCTAACGTAAGCACTACTATTTCCTCTTGTCCGCTCTAACAGCTCAGCACTCGGAAACCCAAACAAAAAGCTGCGAATGGAGGTCGGTGTAGCTTTACAGTCCGTTTCACCATAAGTGCAAGCGAAGGAGAAGCTGTAAGAGAGAGCGTGAAGCTTGAACCAGGCTTCCGACGCACGTGCCAGCGGAAACTAAAGACGTTCTTGTAGCATCGCCTTGGCTCGTTCCTACTTAGGATGAAGACATGAAGCACGGCTTCATCAAACGCACAGCCGCGGAGCGTTCCTCCGCAAAATTCTTGGTTTTGAACAAGCGCTTGTCCGACGAATGCGATTTTGGCAGACATCCATTGCATGCGATCGATTCCACGTCTTTCATAATGTGGTGCACTTAAGTTTTCTCGTGGAGCAAGCCCTATTCTCCGAAAGGGTTTTGGCACCTGTCATTCTGCATATTAATTCGTTTGGTGCGTTTTTCCTTCGCTTGACGAGACAGCGAGATCGCGCGGCTGGACTGCTACATTTTTTGCACGATAGAGTAGTCCAGTGGTTTCAACCATTGATGTTTCGCGGACCCCTTGGGGAAAGGCGGAGACGATGGAAAAACCCCGTTCGGGGTGAGGGGAAGGGAAAGGTATAGGTTAGTTATGATAATGATTTAATAAATGTATATAACTAAGAACTAGTGTGAAGCAGACGTCTCTCATTGCCACACACACTAAAAAGTTCACCCGAAAGTTGGAACGTTTCTTCTCAGTCTGAAAAAGACAACACTTATGACCGGGCCAGACTGATGAGGCCGTGCTTCGCGGACCCCTAGAATGCCTTCGCGGACCTCGATTTGAGAACCACTGGAATGGTCTATGCGCAATTGCTAGGAGGGCATCTGACCACCAACATGTCACTGCTTGGTCCGTAATAACTATCAGCTGAGTTTTCTGAATTACCTACATTTGCATTCTGCGATTGTAACCCAAAGTAGTAAAATACAAGAGAAAAACATCCAGATGATAAAGCACATCGAAACAACCGTCATATTTAATACCTGGAAAGTCTAGGTTCTTCCTCACCGAACGTATTTGTTTCAGAGTTGACCTGTGCAACGATCCTCAACCTAAGGTCGTTTTAACTATGACAGCCGTAGAAGACAAAAATTAGGTAAGGAAGCTCATAATTGACCCGACACGCTTAATTTCTTGTATGTGTATTCAAAAATAGCTGCAATTATTGTATGACATTCACCTCACGATTTTACTTGTCAAATCATAGTGTTCTTTTTTTTTTTTTTTTTCCTGACTCTTCTTAGAGCCACGTGCTCCAAACCTTGCCAATGTGAGGCCATTGCGAAAAATCCAGGTTCTTCGAACGTTTCAAATTACAAGCAAAAAACATCGAGAGCCGCTTACCTGTAGCTTCCGATTCCCGATGAGAAACTCCTTGTTGTTGGTGCTCCGGCGATCCTTCCAGGCGAAGAAGACCCCTATGGCCGACGAAATCCCGAGCACGACCACGAGGACGCAGTAGTCGGCCGCGACGAAGTATTGTACCGCCATGGTTCTTTGGATCTTGGCGCAGGGAGCAGCAGCCGCGGCAACGCTCAGCCTCCGACTCACGAGCCTGGGCGACAAAGTTTTTGCCTATAAGCTTCGGCGGCGCTTTGCTCAACACCACATTCCGGAAGGACAGATGATAAAAAGAACCGAAGAAATCAAAGGGGGGATGCACTGTCGTACTTCCCTCGCCTCTCTCTCCCCTCCGCCTCCATATTCCCCTTCGCACTTGACGTATCTCCTCCGAAAAGCCTTCGTCCCTCCTTACCTCGCCTTTCCCCCCGCCTCCACGTGAAAGCGGCGAGAGTGTGTGTGCAACGAGCGATTCGACGACGGCTTTCGGTCGCATTGAATACCACGACGACCGAGGCAAGGGCAAGGTCGAATCGACGAGACAATAGGATTACTGCCTAGAAGTGAAAAGGAGGGGGGAGAGGGGCGGTGGTCGGCGCGTTTTAACGATGGCTTGGTTTGTTTTGCGCAAAATTTGGGGTGCGCAAGAGGCGGACAGTGGTAACGGCAGGTTGGAGAAGATGCTCATCGCAGAACGGGATGATGAGTCTCTTTCCGTACGCTCGAGACAGCGGATGAAATATTGACAATATAAATGACGCGACCGTGGAGTGGAATAGAGCAAGCCATGCGGAATGAGGAAGTAGCCGGGGTCCGATTTTGGTTATTTATGTGTGCGTGCGCTTGTCTTTGTGGTTGCTGATTGCCGTGACGTGGACGCTCTTGACGGGAGCGGCTGGGTGGGGTGACGTCGAAGGAAGCGCGGGGATTGCCCGTGAAGCCTGGAATTGGCGCGACGTCTCGCAAGAAGGCATTGACACAGAGACGTAGGTATATTAAATATGTGTGGCAATGAGTTTCCCCCCCCCCCCCCCCCCCCTCCCCGTTCGCGTTCTTCGTCTCGTGCGGGAAACATGGTGAGGTGGAATGAAACTTGATGTCAGAGTAGCAGTGCATTCCGGACTTCATCGTTGAACATTTAGTATTTTTGCTTGCTAAACGGCGCCTGTATTTTTTTTTTAATTTTTAGCTAAGACGCATACTCCGACACTTGTAAATAAATCTAAAAAAAATTTGTTTTCGGCAATTCATAGAGGAAAAAACAAATACTACCAAAAGCGACTCGACGATGAAAAACATTAATACACAAAAAAGTTTTCACGTGAAAATCGAAGCAGACTAAATTTTTAAGTCTTTCGCAAGACATATTTTTATCAAGATTTATTGAATATAATTATTTCCCAAGATGCAAAATAACGTAAAAGTAGCGCGGACCTTCTCTGCTCTCAATTCGTTGTTTGTACACAACCCAAACAAGAAAAGGCAGATAAGATAAAAAAGGAAAATAAAAGAAAAAAAAGCTCTTTTACCGTGCGCTTACCCGTAACCTAAATCGATAATCGTATTTACTATAGAAAGGAATGCCCGCCTGATGGTGGTTCTTATCACCATCACGCGAGGAGGCACAATAAAAACCTAAACGCTTATATGCGAGTTTACGTAAATAAAAAAAAAAGTAAAATAGGCCTATTTTGCTTAACATTGTTCACAAAGTCAAATTTGGGGGTTTTACGTGCCAAACCAACAACGGGCATCCGGCACGTCCCAGCGGAGACTGAGGATTGATTTTTACCACCTGGGGATCTTTTGACGTGCAACTGAAAGCTCGGTTACACGTCGCCTTTTTCACAAAAAGCCTCCGTCAAATTGCGGTCACCTCGGCCGGGATTCGAACCCGCCACCTGGGGATCAGTACGCTGGCGCTTTGCCCCGGAGCCACCGAGGCTTTTTTTTTTTCTTTATTGCATAGGAATGTAGGACGAGACGACACATCATAGGTTAGCTCAGGCGAACAGTATGATCTAGAACACTTTGATATTCATTAAGCTAGAGAGCAGAGGCAACCAGTCGGGCGGAATTTCGCGACACTCTTATATACTTTTGATTTGGGCTACACACTGAGTAAAATAAAAACTGACAAGTTTTGGTGCCTGAATGGCGTTTCTTACATCCATGCGATATTTCCATATACTATATAAACCCAAGAGCATAATGAGATCATACGGCACAATGTTTTCAGAAGAAACGGGCAGAAAACGTATTGAATGCGGTGAAATGTTAAGGTCTTTTTTCAACGTGCGCTGCATGACATCCCAGAAGAAAATTGCGTCCCAGCAACCAATAAAAACATGTTCTATAGTTTCTGGTGTTTTGCACAGTAGACGATTTACTGTCCATGGAACGAACACCCCTTTCTCATTTAGCCATACCTGGTCGGTAGTACAGAACAGTGCAACTTAAAAAAGAAACTTTTGGCCGCTGGAGGGATTTCCATCTTTTGTACGCGATATAATACATCTCGACCAGGGCAGTTTTCATAAATCGTGCGATAGATTGGTGTTGGACAAATAACATCCACAAGGTCTCTATATAGTTGTTTTTTTTTTTCTTGAAACGGTTTCAAGATAATCCCTAGAAAATCTGACACTTTAAAAGTTGAAGGCGTCCACAACTTCTTTAAGGTACCCCACTAACCTTGGGGTTCGGCCTCCCACCGATGACACCAAAAATGATGGGAGGTGGAATGCCAGTGTTGATTTAATCATTTCACGAACGAAAGAAGTCTCTTGATCTCCGAGAACAAGAAATCTTGGTACCAATTGGCGGATAAACAGATGCGGCAGGCCATGCCACCTTCTGGATTGCGCCGGGAAAGGTTGTCCCGTCGCATGAGCTCTCAGGTAGATTTCCATAGAAACACAGCAAATATTCTGTGAAATTTTCAAATGTTCCGCCTTGCGCAGTGCAGTACTTGCAAAATATACCAGAGCTTGGCTACAAGAAAAACGTTGCAGATTGTCGACCTTGTGAAGATCGACATATCTCGGTGAGAACAGCGCTTAGCGCGTTGTCCCAGGTTGGTCGCCACATCAGACCAGTAGGCCGAGTTGTTTCTGATGTGCTGCAGAGCGCGTCCGGACATTTCATCGAACGCCGTTTCATCGAATGCCGTTTCATCGAATGCCGTTTCATCGAACACCGTTTTATCAAACGCCGTTTCCCCGAACGCCGTTTCCTCGAACGCCGTTTCATAGAAGCCGTTTCATCGAACGCCCTTTCATCGAACAACGTTACAGTCTGCAATATTTTGGAATTTACTTTAATTTTTATACACAACTTCATCTAATTTTCTCTCTTTTTTTTTCTTTTGTTTCTGTTTTTATATCACTGGGTGCAGTGACGAGATAAGTTCCATCGTGAACATATCCTGCTTCGAGAAGAAAGCCTCCATGAAACAATGACCCCTCTCCCTGTGACATGAAACAATTAAAAATTAGACAAAAATAAAAAGCACAGACACTTAAAAGTGTTTTAAGTGTCTGTCCTTTATTTGCAGCGTCGTAGTTTCAGTAATGTATGTACATGAGTGAAGCTTTTTAGTAAGTCGCATACCCAATTGTTTTTATTTCTTTTTGTGCGAATTGTTTTTATTTTTAGTAATTTGACACCACATTCAAAACAGTTTCACGAGTGACTACCTTAGTTTTAACAAATGCAAGGTGAAACATCTATAAAGCACTGTTATGCCCCAAAACTCGGTACACAGCCATAACAAAGAAATTCGATAAAACGGCCCTTGGCGATTCGATGAAACGGTGTTCGACGAAATGTCCGCTACCCGCTGCAGAGGCACTCCAAGGTATTCACAAGGCGTACAGCTCTATTCAATACCCTCGTATTCAGAGGGCGTCGTTGCCCAGGATCTGTGCCAGAACCCTCTGCATTTCTGCAGGTTCACTGCCGCACCAGTTGCCGCACAGAAACTGCGCGTAAGCGCTACAGCGTGACTGACACTTGCTTTGTCTCTGCAGATGTAGAAAATATCGTCTGCGACTGCCAAAACTTTGGTTTCTGCACCGCGCAATGCGTAACTTTTCACCTTCTCGCTTTTGGTGATACTCTGACACAGCGGCTCTAAGCAGATTTGTACACGTTACTAAAAATAGTAAGGAATTACATTTACAATTACTCGAGGCTAAATTGTAATTTATTACAATTACAATTACACTCTCATAAAAGTAACTGACCGTTACCCCAAAAAGTAATCCGTTACTTTCGTGGCGTTACTTTTAACATTGTCCTCAAGTAAGAAATAAAGGGAAGAGGGTTATTCAAGTTCTTATCGTTGCAACCTGTTTCATTTAATGACCTTGAGTATTTTGAGCAACAGCTGGCTCTCGAAAGTCTCGTCAGACATTTTGTGTTATTTCTTACTCAATATGTCGACTGCTACGCTGAACACCCTTTGAACTGAGGCACTGGATGGGAGCGCAATGCTGTTCCTCACGAATGCTTCATGCTCTGCATTGAGCTTTTTCAGCGAAGCAAGAGAAGTACTATTTACCTCGAATGTAGAGCAAAGCTTCGTCTTTGCAGCCGTTGCCTGCTATTCGAGAGATTTAGTAGATCGTTCCGATACCTCCGATACCGGCGATAACGGTACCCGATAACGATATGATGCATGCGCAAAGACGGCGGCGAAGTGTCGGATATCGTTATCAGAGTCATCGGACCGATCTACTAAAATTATTCATTGCCTAAATCGCGAAGCTGTGGAAGTCATCATAGATCTAGCCAAGAGTAGAATAAGGATTGATTTATGTCCATCTTACTATACCGACATATATTGCCAGACAATAGCAAAACATAGTTGTAACAGTAAGGTGATAATTAACTAATAAATAAGGTTTGGCTCGATATTGTTCGTCTTTTGGTTCTGAACAGTTCGAAGCTGGTGAATAAAAAAAAGTTTCCAGTATATAAATATAGTAATAAAAGAAAAAGGACACCCATAACAACGGCTAATTAAAACGTCGGTTAAAACAAGGAAATGTAAACGCGCGTTTGCCGTGTGTACCTTTCTTGGTGCCGTTCAAAAACGCACGGAGCACGAACCGACTGCAGTTTACTCCAGTGCTATCCACATAGACGTCCGCTGATGCCACGGGCAGCGAGGGGCAGAGTACTAACTACTAAGGAAGCCGCGCTATGGCC